CCTCATCCTGGCAGTGTAAATGCACACCTTATTTTCACAGGTATGGGGAAAAGACAAGGCTAGAAATCATCCCTCAGCCCACTCCGAGACACATGCATATTTGACTTTTTCCTCTACTCTATGTTGAGTTTATCATACGTAAAATGCAGATTTACTGAGCTAGTGATAGATGAATAATTAACTGTTTGTTTCTCTTTCTCCTCCTGCCTGCTTTTTCCCCTTTAAATATTGAAGTCCTCAAAACCTTCTTTGGAGCACAGGCCACAGATCCTACCGTAACTTGCATCTCTTTTTTCCCAGGTGTATCCTCAATCTTGGCAAAAGAAACCTCTAAATTGATTGACACCTGTCTCAGACACTTACTGGTTTACAATAGTTAGCATTCCTTGTGCACTGCTATGTATCTACGCTGTTTTAGCAGGTAGAACTTCTTACACCTTTATCATGTTTATGAGGGAGGTAGCATTGTTTTCATATTACAGATGAACTTAGCTTCCAGGCTATCCTTCCTCTAACAATTTATTGCTTATCAGTGAAAAATCCTAACATTTATATACAGCTTCAACTTATGATTAGAAAATAAAACAAATTCAACATGAACATAAATACACATGCCAAATCTCATTTATTCTCTAATTCTAAAATTATGCCATTTTAATGCCATTCTATATCTCTCTGATCCTAAACAATTCTTTATCCTAAAGCAGTATTTCTCACAAAATGTCAGCTGTAAGTGTGTGGTATAAGCATATCTTAGTTGTGAAAATAGTTAAGCTTTCTCTCTTCACTAGCATAAAACACCCCCACTCTTCAGCCACAACTAATAGATAGCGCCTAGCACTGTGCCAGACACTATGGGCTGGGTCAAGTCTCAAGGACAAATTAAGGTAAGACAGCCCAGCAGGCCACAGGCTTTTTCTGTGGGCTTCTAGTTCTCTTTCTCCTCATCCTCTCTTATCACTGTCACGTCCCCCGTGTGCTTCTCTGGGTGCCCAGCTAAATAGTTCAGGCAATGAGACGTGTCTATGGTGGCAGAATTACCTGGTGAAGGCAGGTGATTCTTGCTTCTCATTCAGGAGAAGGATCCCTCACTTTTTTTTTTCTTTTGAGACAGAATTTTGCTCTGTCACCCAGGCTGGAACACAGTGGTGCCATCTCAGCTCAGTGCAACCTCCGCCTCCCAAAGCAGCCCTCACTTCCTCATTTTATGCTAATCTACATCCCATGATGCCAAAGAATTCTTTATCCTGGAGTAGTAGTTATCAGTATCAGCTGGAGGACCTAGGGTGGTATGTGTTAAAGTTTAGACGCCTGAGGGCCATCACAGCTGTATCTGAGATCAGAGAGGAGGTAGGTGGGGGTGGGGGATGGGCATGATAGTGTAGTTAGGGCACAGCAATCTCTCATCTTAGTAAGCTAAGCTCTCCCAGGTGATGCTGAGGCAACTTGATTGCCTTAGAAGTTCTAACCTGGACCAGAGAAAGCGAAGAGATGGGCCAATAAGTGGATATGTTTGAGGAAAAATGAAGTGATGGCCTGAGAGCCCAGAATTGAGACATGTTCCTAGAAAGTTATTTTGCGGAGAAGCTCTTAGATCCATGACTCCTACTTTTCTCACAAATAAATCACCCAGCTGTCTTCCCAGAGACCCCACCCTATCCCTTAGCAGCAACCCTGTGAGGAAAGGATGGCCCAGGCAGTAAATGTCTTCTGGTTTATAACAGAAAACGCTGGGTGGTTGGGAGTGTTCCTACCTCTTGGACTGAGTAGAGACATATTTTTGGCACATTGAAAAATATCAGTAAATGCTTTTTATCACACAGTTATTGCTACATTTGGGAGCTGAATTCCATTATAACATACTCTAATTACTTATACTTTTATCAATATAGTCATAACTATACATATATTCTGAACAAGGGTCATCAAATTAAGGCCAGTGGACCAAATCTAGTCTGCGTCCCATTATTGTAAATAAAGTTTTATTGGAACACAACCATGCTCATTCATTACATGCTGGTTATAGTTGTTTTCACGCAATAACAGCATAGATACAAGAAAGACAATATGGTCCACAAAACCAAAAATATTTATTATCTAGTCCTTTACAGAACAATGTTTGTCTAGAGGATTATATTATAGATTATAGCTCTCTACCACTACTGTATGCCAGGTGCTTTACTTGGGTCCCTTGTACATTATCTTTACTGTTCTCAATAACCTTCCCAGTTGTTATGATCATGATAATGCAGGGGAGGAGTGTTAGACAGGTCAAGGGATCTGTTTAAAGCAGACATCCAGAGCCGGGCGCGGTGGCCCACGCCTGTAATCCTAGCACTTTGGGAGGCCGAGGCGGGCGGATCACGAGGTCAGGAGATGGAGACCATCCTGGCTAACACGGTGAAACCCCGTCTCTACTAAAAATACATTAAAAAAAAAAAAATTAGCCGGGCGTGGTGGCGGGCGCCTGTAGTCCCAGCTACTCGGAGGCTGAGGCAGGAGAATGGCGTGAACCCAGGAGGCGGAGCTTGCCGTGAGCCAAGATGGTGCCACTGCACTCCAGCCTGGGTGACAAAGCGAGACTCTGTCTCAAAAAAAATAAAAAAATAAAGCAGACATCCAGAATTCAAACAGTATTTTGTTTGTTTTCTGACTGCGAGTCTTTTATGAGCTGTGCTAGGGATATAATCACCATGTTACACTTTTAATGGGAAAAATTGTTCTTAGATAAAAACATGACTCTAAAGAAATGTGCTATGGGAAAGCAGCCCATATGCAATTTGGGGAACTGACTCTCAGTCCCTAAAGATTCTTTCCTGATAATCTGGCTGCCCCATCATCGTGTACCCTATTTCATTTTTATTCCAGTAATTATAAGTGCTTGAAATTATTTTATTTATTTGGCCATTTCTGTGGATTGTTTTTCTCCTCTCAGTAGAATGCAGGATCCTTGCAGGCAGAGTTTTTCTTCAATTTGCATCTGTAGCCCAAGAGCTGGGAGTGTGCCAGGCACAAGTGTCACTGTTCAGCAAGCATTTGCTCTGTGGCTCCTTAGTTAATAATAAACGTTTATATTGTCTTCTTGTCTTAAAATACAACATCTGAGTAGAGACTGTAATGCATAGCAAAATTTGTCTTGCTTATTTGCCAACGATGGAAAATTCTTTTTTGAAATCCTTGGAAGCACTCTAGAGGAGAACTGGGGTAGGTGTTGATTTGTTGCAATGCAGCATTTTGAAAATTATCACAATATCTCTTTAGGGAATTCAGTGGAATAAACCAGGATCATATACACCACGAAAACAACAACAACAACAGCAGCTTTTTAATCACTTAAACAGCAACTCGAAAAGAACATGATACTGCTCCTCATTTAACCCCTTAGAAGTGTGAGTTCACAGATTGCTACATCCTGCCCCCTACTGGAAGAGAGAGTAATGACAAACAGGGACTAGCAAGAGCACTGAAGCTTTTTTACCAAGAAACAAAATGTTTCTTTTTGCTGGAGTAAATTACGTGTTGCAACTGCTCTTCCCTGCCCCACATTCCTTTCTACTTCCAAAGTAAATAAATAGTAAAGCAAGTGGAGTATAAGATGGCTACCAGTAAAATAAAGAGAAAAGCAAACCTATATATAGGACACGTTTTGAAAACAAAATTAATCTTTTGTTTATGTAGAAGTAATTTTAAAGTGTGATTTGTTTAATAATTAACTCTCCACCTCAGTTCTTATCATCTGGCACTCTGTTGAAGAATATAATTGGAAAGGCTATCTAAATTAAGCTTCTAAAAATTAAACTTCTGAAAATTAGAGGTAGCATATATTCATATTTACTTGTATTAACTCATATTTAGTGCAATATCTTTAACGTTTAACTCATAGAGTAAATGTCATGTCTAATATGATAAAGATACTAAGAAAATATATAAAGTCCCTGATTTTAAAAATGCCTATTGTATAAGATACGAAGTTTCTTTTGTAGAGAAGACTGATTAGTTACACCTGACCTTAATGTTTTCTTCTGGCCTCCTTGTCCCTTCCAGTTTCACAGCTCATCCTACCAAACCTCACGCGTATGTCAAGATAAAGCAAGCTATCCGTATCCCGTTACCCTGTGCTTACCTAGATAAGGACACCATCCTATAAACCAGCATACTGACCTCTACCAGTATATAATTTTTTATTTAATCAACAATATGCACGACATCTTTTAAAGCATTAGCTAAATAAGCCAACTATACACTGATTTGAAGGAGGCGCTTCCAAAATCTCGCTGAAAACATCTAATATGAGCAAGACCGTCTAAAAGACAGGTAACCGAGATATCTTCCAGTACCTTTAAATTCTGACCCTGTGCTAAGTTCCAACATCACAAAACAAAGTGTCTATGCCTCCAAACTATAGGGTAATGCTCTCTCTCTAACTTTAAAGGAGTAACAAAAGAAGTTGCATGTAAAGAATGTATCATTTCTTTTGGAAAACCAGCATCATATTTTTGATTTCCATGTTTCCATTACATTACCCAGTCCAAGGTTCTACCAAGTAAGGTTATCTTAGAATCAGGACAAGGAAAAGCTTTTATCTATTGGTAGACTCTTATTAGATAGCAAGAAGAACCATTATGGTTAATAGCATAGACTATAGAGTCACATTGCCTGAATTCAGATTCCAGCTCTCTCGTACCATGTTACCTTGAGCTAGTTATGTTAACTTCCTTTGTCTTAGTTTCCTCATCTGTAAAATGTGGGTGTCAATAGTACCTGCCTCATAGGGCAATTGTGAAAGTAAAAGAAGTTCATATGTAAAAAGTCCCTTGGAACCAGACCTGGCACATAGCCTTTGAGAGATGTCAGCTGCAACCCAAATTTGTTTCTGCAGCTGACTCTGTTGACACAAGGCTCAGAGCTACATGTCAATTCTTCTGCTGTAACTGATTCCAGACACCTGCTTCTTCTTTCTCTCTCTCCCTCAATTTACTTATTTATTATCATTGCTCTGTTTCGTATCATTTTTATTAATATAAGCTGATGAACTATTTTAAGGAAATGAAGAAGAATGAAATTATTTATTAGGTGGACTAAACTGAACTTGTCCTCTTTGGTCAATTATTTCAGTCCAGATTACTTAATTTTCTGCTTTATAAAATACTCCTAAATTAGGTCACATCAATTTCAGAAAGCACATCTTAGAATATACATCTTCTATGTGCATGAAAATCCAGAATTTAAAAAAAAATCTTGTCTTCCTATGAGACTTCTTGGATGACATATAGGTGTTAACAGTTTAATACATGCATATAAAGAGATACCTGTTAACATGTCAAATATGTTGATAGGTTTCCATGCTCACTGAGACTCACATGGATAAGGAATGGAGCAGAGAGCAGCTATACTCTACTGGCACTGTGCTGGGAATAATTTGAAATCAAGCTTCTCTTCTGCAAAGCCCAATTCTAGTAAAAAGGTGCAAGAGGGAAATCAGTGCAGAGTGCAAGTTCATCGGAACAGGTTGATCTGGTTTGCTGGAGACTCTTAGAAGCCTCCTGGGAGAAATGTGGATAAAAGTTGTTGAAATAGATAGATAACTCCAGGACTTAAGCTCTCAAACACAAATGAGGAACAAAGACCAGCTTTACCTCCTGGGGAGTGCCTTCTCCAGATAAATGCAGATAACTCATCAAGGCCTCTGCCTTGAGTACTTAATTGCTGGAGAGGGAACGTTTGGGCTGCATAACAAAAAGCATTACTTTTATTTTCTCAGATCAGCCTTAAGGAAGTGTCCCAAGTTTCAAAGGGAAAGCACCTGAGACAGAAAAAGTAAGTTAATAAAGAGTTGTAATAAAAGAGGCATCAGAAGTTGGGGGAACAAGGCTGTTTTATTGGAGACATTGAGTGGGGATGGCAATGGGATTAGCAATTTAGAAAGAAAGCAAAAAAGCATGCATTATCCCTGTTGACTATCAGTAAACCGAATGTGGCTCAGAATGCCAGTCAGGAATACCCATAGGGTAAAAATGTGTTTAGGAGTGGAAAGAAAAGAAAAATCAAGTCTTGGGATGGCAGTGGCTTCACTTTTGGTGGTTCAGAGACAAACTCTAATATTCTTTGTCAACTGAAAAATGGTGAGGTTCATACACTTGGAAAGGAGAGCTTTGATTCTCATAAAGTGTTGCAGCCCCCAGGGTGGCCATTCTGACAGTCTGGGAAGTGTAGCCGCTGGCCAGAAGCCAGAAACAGATATGCTGAGGTTGAGCCAACTAGGACAGGGATTTATGCTGAATGGGGTGGGCAAATATACATATTCAATCATCTATAAAAGGAGTCATGAATATTTATGAATGGAGAAACATGCTAATGTACAACTGGGCTTCGTGTCTCATGTGGTTCCAATGTTCAAGAAACGGCTGAGTTCACATGATCCAAGGGTAGAGTATTTGGCTCTCTGATGTCAAAAAGTGAAGCAGAAGAGGAAAGTTTTCGCTGTGCATCCTCTGAAGACTGGTCAGAACTACTGCTTCCTTGGTCGTCTCTTATCAAGAAGTTTCTTCTTGATAGTCTCTTATCAAGTTTCTTTTGCCAAAACTGCAAAAGAAGGGGCAGTAGCCAAGCAGTTGGTTGATATCCACAGTGGAATCTCTTGAAAAGGGCTGGTTTCTGCTTAGCTTTTAGGGAAGAAAACCTCATGTTAGTCAGGGGGAGAGGGGAGACGATGACAAGATGTATTGGGCCTCCCATTCTGTCTCATGGCCATGAACTCAGTTTTAAGGTTTTCCTTGGGTCCCTTTGGCCAAAGGTTGGTGGTTGTGTTGAGGGGTGGGGGAGGTGTCTGTATAGTTGGTCCTGGGGCTGATACTTTTATTTTTATTTATCATCCTTGTTATTTTTCCCTCTTCAGTGGTGAAAGCTGGAATGGTAAGTGCTGTAAAGAAGATATGCCTCGCAGGACTCATTTGTTAGAAGAAGAGGCAGTCTGCAATGTAAAGTCAGCAATCCCCACTTGTAAATGTTATTTGTTCCCTACACCACACTGAAGCAGGACTCAGTACCTCTTCTCACAACCCAGAAGGAAATCTCTACAACCTGATTAATTGTAATCTCTACAGTATGATTAATTGTAATCATACTTCACAGTCTCATTTGGAATATGGGGACAAGGGGAAGTTACAGCACAGAATTACTAACAAAATACTTAAAAGTTTTAACCAGATGTGCCTGTTTGTTTGTTTGTTTTAATTCATCTTTCCCTATACTATCAACAGTGTGTTTTTAATCTTCCTAACTTCACTAAATTTTGTCTCCTGTCTCCTGGATTCCCCTCTCAAACCTCAAGTGTCTCTACTATTTATGGATCAAACAATATCCTCAAGTCTGCATCTCTACATCATCATCACCACCGTGATGATCCTCATGGTCCTGACCATAGCAAACATTACTGTGTGTACTTTTGTAGCCAACACTGGTCTAAAGGTCAATTCACTTAATCCTCACAAACACTCAGTAGGTTAGGTTTTATTTATATTGTGTAATTGGGAAACCATTGGAAGCAATAAAAACTTATAATATCATATTTATTTATTTGTTTATTTTTATTTATTCCTGTATTTATTTTTTTGAGATGGAGTCTCACTCTGTGGTCCAGGCAGGAGTACAACAGTGCAATCTTGGCTCAATGCAACCTCTGCCTCCCAGGTTCAAGTGATTATCCTGCCTCAGCCTCCTGAGGAGCTGGGAGTACAGGTGCATGCCATCATACTAGGCTAATTTTTTTGTATTTTGAGTAGAGATGGGGTTTCACCACTCTGGCCAGCCTGCTCTTGAACTCCTGACCGCAAGTGATCTGCCCGCCTCGGCCTCCCAAAGTGTTGAGATTACAGGCATGAGCCACCGAGCCTGGCCAAAAGTTTATAAATTGATTTTTATACTATAAAATATTAAGTAATAAAATAGTTATGGCACAGTACAACTGAAACTTCGAAAGTCTGGGACTCTTCAAGAAAGTATTTACATAGAAAGTAAGCTGAGTTTTAAGAGATATAAGCAGTTCAACAAGGAAAACAGACACTATCACTACAGGCAATGCATTGTTTAGGTTGACAATGGTAAGAAGTTTTATTGAAGGACAGATTATTTGAGGAAGAATGATTAGTGATGTACCAAAACAACAAACAAAAAAAAATTGAGGCAAAATAATAAATTGGATTTTAATGCCAAATAAATACATGTGATCAATTTTAAGTAAAAGGAATTTAGAGATTTTCAGCACAAAAATTATATAATCAAATTTATATTTTGGAAAATTCACCCAAAGTGAGCAATGGAGGACAAATTGGAGGAGGTCAAAAAGTGTGTAGGGTGGTGGTGCTGGATGTAAACATATAAGTTAGGCCACTATGATTGTTAAAAAAACAGCTTTAGTTTAATCCTCAATTCCAAATGTCCGAAAGTATCTGCATTCCTTTTTTCAGGAAAGGCAAGTGATGGTAACAACCATTCAACCATTTCCTTAGCCTTTTTTTTCTTTGTTTCTCCAGTTTTTCTTGTGTATTCTAAAAGAATGATATTATCAGAAACCATTCAAAGTCAATCCATTTCTTGCTTTGAATCTATTTTCCTCAACTTCAAATTCCTAGACTTAGAGTCATTTAGTCATTGATTAAGCAAATGCTTACTGGGTATCTACTACCCAGCAAGCATAAAAGTTTATTTCTTCCTAATTTTCTGCTCCTTTAAGATAAACTGTTACCTTTTTGGGAGGTCCAACCTCTTAAGATCTTGGGAAAAGGCAAGGTAAAAGGATGAATTGCTCATTGAGGGAAACCATCATGTGAAAAGACTCTCTCTCTCTCTCTCTCTCTCTCTCTCTCTCTGTCTCTCACACACACACACACACACACACACACACACACACACACACACACACACATTTAATGACCTCCTGGGATCCAGCAGGTTACAGGGAAATACAACATGGACCACATAGAAGCAGATTAGAAGCTAGGCAAAGAGGTCATCTTAGGTAACCCCAAGCTCTAATGAAATAATGTGTATCCTGTAAACCACATAATCTTTCTGTGATAACTGTTTCCCTGTGTTATGCTCAAGTCTTCTGAAAACTCTTGTTTCAAAGCTCCAGTAGTCTCCATTAAGGAAGGATACCAGTTGTCTTATTTCCATACCTGGACCCTGTGATCAAAGAGAAGGAGTGCCCCCTTAGGGCCAGTGAGGTAAAGCAAGAATTAATTTAAAAAGTGAAACTTGTAAGAAAAAAGTTAATAATACTGTGTTGTTCACTTGAAATGTGATAAGAGAGCAGATTTTAAGTGACCTCACCACATACCTACACAGATACACACACCCACACTCACACAGTGGTAACTATGGGTGGTAATGAATGTATTAATTTGATTGTGGTAATCATTACACAGTGTACACATGTATCAACTCATCATGTTGTACACATTGAATATATACAACTTTTGTCAGTTAAAATGTTTTAAAATAATTTTTTAAAAAGCCCAAACAAATAAAATTCAAGGCCAAGGACTTCCAGTTTCAGCCACAATATATAAGGAGCTTAGAAGTCACTCCTCCATACGTATAATAAGAAAAAGCTGGACAAACTGAAAATCAGCGACTGTCCTTGAACACATCAAAGAACTCAAGGCTAACTTCTACCCAGTAACCTGAAGAGAGAGGTAAACACAAGCCATCACTAAGACTTGCTTATCTGGAGCAGAAGCCATTCACATAAACTGGTAGAAATGCTTAAATGGGAATTTCGACAATTTTCTGAAAGCTAAATGTGGACGACTGAACCAGTGAGAAATCTTAGGGGTTACACTCAGGAGAGGGCCCACCTTCAGGTATTTTCTCTCCAGTAGCCCCATTCAGCTCTCATGGTGAAGATCCACGCAAGATCCCCAGATGTCTTAGGCAGGAAGAAAAGGAAGGTAACCATTGTGAAATAAGCAGGGAGTTCTTCATGACAACAGTTTCCTCCTCAGGAGAAAAATCTTTACCAGAGACTTATCTCAACTGGGGAAGGCACATTCTTGCCATTTCACACCCTCATCCTTCCTCTCTCAACTAAAGAGTTGAGGGGACACTATACAGCTGGAGAAGAGTTGAGGGGCACCATACAGCTTTGTGAAGATTAAAGCCCAGAGACAAAGGACCACTAAAAGACTAAGATTTAATCTTAACATTAAAGAATGTTCCCCTCTCCCACCTAACTTACCAATAGGGTTTCAGTACAACAGTTGAGTGCAGCTAAACAAACAACAGATAGACTGTTATTCAATGGAGGAGAACTTATGAAACCCCACATCAAGGAAAAAAAAAAGGCAAAGATACTAGAGGAGTTTTAAGCTTCTGATATCCACAGTTACAACAAACATTAAATGCGATCCGACTTCTAAACAAATAATAAATCCTCACACTAAAAGCCTATTCACTTGAGTTCATGCTATGGACTGAATGTTTGTATCCTCCAGAGTTAATATGTTGAAGCCCTAAACCTCAATGTGATGGTATTTGGAGGTGGTGCATTTGGGAGGTAATTAGGCCATGAGGATGCAGTGCTCTTGAATAAGATTAGCACCCTTATAAAAAGAGACACAAGTGAGATAATCCTACACACCAGCATATGAGGATATGGCAAGAAGGTTCCTGTCTGCAAATCAAGAAGAGGGTGCTCACCAGGAATCAAATCAGCTGGCATTTTGATCTCTTACTTCCCAATCTTCAGAAATGTGCGAAGTAAACTTTTGTTTTTTAAGCCACCCAGTCTATGTCATTTTTGTTATAGTAACCCAAATGTAGTAAGGCAGTGCTTACTACCCAACAAAATGTGTCTGGCTTTCAACAAAAAACTACAAGGCAAGGAAAACACGAAAAGAAAACACAATCTGAAGAGACAAAACAAGCATCAGGACAAAACTCAGAGAACAAATCAGATAGTCTGATAGTTCAAACTATCAGACAGGAGTTTATTATTATCTTTTTTCTGAAATGGAGTCTCACTCTGTCACCCAGGCTGGAGTACAGTGGTGCAATCTCAGCTCACTGCAACCTGCACCCCCTGGATTCAAGTGATTCTCCAGCCTCAGACTCGCAAGTAGCTGGGACTACAGGCACACGTCACTGCATTCGGCTAATCTTTGTATTTTTAGTAGAGATGGGGTTTCGCCATGTTGGCCAGGATGGTCTCGAACTCCTGACCTCAGGTGATCCATCCAACTCAGCCTCCCAAGGTGCTGGGATTACAGACAGGGAGTTTAGAATAACTGTGATCAATATGTTAACAGCTCTAATGGATAAAGAAAACATTATGAAAGACTAAAAGCATAAGGTAAACAGAGATGTAGAAACTCTACAAAAGCATAAAAATTAATGCCAGATGTCAAAAAACTGTAAGAAAAATGGAAAAGTCTTTGACAGGCTTATCAGTAGACTGGACACAGATGAGGAAAGAAACAGTGAACTTGAAGATTGGACAGATGAGATGATTTTCCAAAACTAAAATACAAGAACAAACAATATTTTTTAAAAAGTGTAGGAAATATGGACCAGTTTTAAAAGGTATAACATACATATAATTGGAGTATCAGAATGAGAGGAAAAATAACATGAAGCAGAAAAAGTATTTGTATTAATAATGACTTGAGACTTTCCAACATTTATGACAGAAACCGAACCATAGATACACATAGCTTGATACAAGCATATAAAGAAACACAGATTTACCAAAGAGGTAAATATGTGTGTGTATATATATTTATATTTATATTTATATATTTATATGGAGTCTCACTCTGTTGCCCAGGTTGGAGTGCAGTGGTGCGGTCTTGGCTCACTGCAAGCTCTGCCTCCCGGATTCATTCCATTCTCCTCCCTCAGCCTCCTGAGTAGCTGGGACTACAGGCACCTGTCACCATGCCTGGCTAATTTTTGGTATTTTTAGTAGGGATGGGGTTTCACCGTGTTAGCCAGTATGGTCTCAATCTCCTGACCTCGTGATCCACCTGCCTCGGCCTCCCAAAGTGCTGGGATTACAGGTGTGAGCCACCACACCCAGCCTAATTTTTTTTTTTTTAACTACAGGTAGGCATATATATTAAAAATGTAAAAAGAAAACACAAAGACAAAGACAAAATCTTGAAATAAGCCAGAGGAGGAAAATACAACCTTATCTATAGGGGAACAAGA